AACGGGTGCGCCTGGCGACCCTCTATCCGAATAACAAAGCGCGCTGCGTCTGGTCGAAACGCTCGTTAACGGGCTACGAACGTTCCCGTTCCCGGAGCCGGCTTCTTGCCGTCGCGGTTCGCCTCTGAACGGGCCCCGATCGGCGTTCCCGGAAAAACTCGCGGAGGAATGAGTCTATCGGAGATGATTGCGAAACGTCCACGTTTCTCGGTCGTTTGGCTCTGCGGGATAAACGCGCAGCTGAGAGTCTCTTTCTTTTTGGTCTCGATGGAAAACGCGCGATCCAACGAGCCTCGTACCCTTTCGAAACCGTGGAGCCGCGGGATGTTTCGTGACAGGTGATCGGAATTTTCGAACGCTCGGGTAATAGTTGGGTGTAATCGAGTCACCCGGTGGATAAAATTTCTCATCTTCGGAGGTTAATGCACAATTATCTCGGTGATTTACGAATGTGTATTTAATTGCAACCGCGATTTATGAATCGCGCTGTATATTATCATGTACATTACGGCACAAGCATATAATCTGCGTCCATAATTCATGAACGAATCTGTGCGTTATACCGGCAATTCCTAAATAAATCTGCAAATTTAATTACGCGAGAGTACCCCTATCGACCTGTATATCTAATCGCGTCGCTAAACCGCGAATCGGACCGCGATTCCAACCACGGACACGCGATCGCTCGAACAAAAGCCAAACGCGAATCTAAGAATCCGCGAATACGTGGATCAGGAGATCTGCTAACGAGGTTAGGTCCTCTTTGGCAAAATCGATCACGATCACGGCTGACCACAAGGTGCTTCCTCTCGGCGCGAATTGGCCAAAGTGACGCGAGATCGGACAATCGGCCGATCGGCTGAGAGACCTCGGGGCGAGCTTAACGGGAATCGAGCGATACGCGGTAAAGCTTTTTGCGACTAAGCGAGCGGCTTTTCCAGGGACAGCCGGCGACGCAAGAACCGGACGTTCTGGATTGGCGGGCGTGAATGGAAGGTTCTTGCGGGAGGGTCGGGAAGCCGTTTCGGCATTCAATAGCGGTTTTCCACGGTCACCTCGGTCCTCGACGGCCGATTTGAATAACAAAATCAGCA